CACCCACAGAGCCAGGAAGCACCGGGCAGGAGCTACCAAGGCAGGACACCGCACAGAGCCAGGAAGCACCGGGCAGGAGCCACCAGGGCAGGACACCCACAGAGCCAGGAAGCACCGGGCAGGAGCCACCAGGGCAGGATACCGCACAGCTGCTCTGGAAGACAGAGCACTATTTCTCTTGACGCCAAATCCCATCTCACCACGAGGCCCGGCACGGCACCCTGGAGTTCACAGCACTGGAATGAGAACTGTGCCCACAGTCCTGCTTGGGGCGCTCCGTGCATCACTGACAGCGGCAAGGTGAGGAGGGAGCCCACTGCCTGTCCAGGTGAGCGGTGCCCCCCACCCCGCCCCACAACACTGCAGCCGGGACCCAGGGTGGGAGAGGGAGCGTGGCTGGAAGCAGGCTCACATAGCCACGAGCAGTCCTGAGACGGCCATCCTGGGGCAGGGCGGCCCCCAGCATCATCTGCCTGACACCCTCACACCAGACTCTGCCCCGGCTCGTGGATTCCCCTTTGGTGCACCACAATAAGCTGTATCCAGCTCCACCTCGGCAATGAACTCTTCGAGATGCAGCACACAGAGGTGACGCCAGGTGACAGAAAGTGCGGGCCAGATGATGTGGTCCCGGAGGGCCGGGGGTGCCCCAACACTGTCAGAAGCAGAAGGAGCCAGAGGGGTCCCCTGTGGGCCGTGGGGGGGGGGGGGGGCTGACCCTGCCAACAGACTCGGGGCCCTAGAACTCAGCTCAGCCACCTGTGGTCCTTCATTGCAGCAGAAACCGACACAACGTCCGTCACACGGAGAAAGAGCTGTCCAGCCGTGCAGCCAGCACCTCGGGCACACATCAGTGAGCCGGAAGCCAGCCAGGGAGGCTGCAGGCTGCAGTTCTGGGACCTTCAAAGCCTGGGAGACAGCGAGGTTGGTGGCTGCAAGGGGCTGCGGGGGCACAGGCAGGGTGGGGCCGTCTGGGAGGTGGCACTGTGCCTCCCACGCCTCAGCGTCTTCTCTACCAAATGGGGCAGCAGTACCGCCTGGGACCCCACAGGACAAGACGCAGCGTGCAGCCCAGAAGCTGCTTCCTCCGCCCACGCCTCAGGACTTCCTGGGCCCCAGACGCCTGGCCCTTCCCTGGCCCCAGGCTGTGTTTTCTGAAGAAAGTGACGAGTTTATGCCACACAAAAGCCACCTGGCGAGAGCACAGAGCCAGGTCTGGGCTCAGGACACACCCACCTGAGAAGACCTGGGATTTGACCCCAAGTCCTCCAGGATGGCACGAGGTGCTGGCCTCATCCCCAGGGAGTGTGGAGGTGTGCGCTGGCGAGGTGGTGGCGGGGAGCTGGGAGCGGCTGGCTCTGGGGTGGCCCCGAGCGGCAGGGGTGCCCTCCGGGTTTGGGAGACCAGGCAGGGACCCTGGGTTTCCAGAGTCCTCAGTGAACACACACTGAGCTCCCTCAGGCCCAGCCAAGGCTGCAGGCCCGACGGGGAGGGCAGGAGGGGGCTGACCTGGTGCGAGCTGGCCCAGGGGAGAGACTGCGACGGCTGGGGCCTGGGAACTAAGGCCGAGGCTGACGGGATGCCGGCACAAGGGGACACAGTGCCTCCCCCACGACCTCTGCTTTCTCAACCAAGAGAACGGGGACTCACAGAGAACCCCGGCCTCACAGAGCCAGGAGCCCCTCCCCACATGCTGGCCTGCGGGAGGCCCAGCCCGGAGCTGGCCCAGGAGACTCAGTTTCCAAAGGCCCAGCACTGCCACAGTCACCACTGGCCTTCTCCAAGTGACCCACCTGGACTGTTCTGCCAAGGGGCGCCTGGATATTTCAGCATCACTGAGGCCCCAAATTACCGACTGGAAAGTCAGCCTGTTAGAGCCGTGTTCCGCAGCCACCCGTGGCTGACTTGGCAGGGCCAGACTGTGTGATGCCACAGGCCTTGTACGGCTTGTGGGCAGGACCCTGTGATGACCAGGACCTGGCCCACGGGCTGTGCTGCACAACAGGTCCTGAGTCCACACACACCTTCGCTCAGCTCCTTCCCCCGAGGGAAGGCCACATGCGTCCAGAATGATGACCGCGCCCAACAAGGCAGGGCACTTGTGCGGACACGGGGAGGGAACCCTGAACAGCCTGGTGGCCAGATGGAAGCCAGACAGGAAGTGAGGAGCAGGAGGGGCCAACAAACACGACCCCGGACCCCTGGCCAGGGCAGTGGATCCCAGCAGCCCCAGGTCCCTGCGGTTCTGTCCCACATCCCACGTCACCTGCTGTGAAATGGAACAAGAAGAGAAGCTGCTGAGGGGTCCCAGGGACCCCACTTCCCATCACCCCCAAAGGAGACATCGGCCTTGTCTGCAGCCCCGCAAATGCCCCCTGCAAATGCCCGCCAAGGCGCCCGCGGCTCGAGTCGGTCACGAGCATCACATCTCAGCCAGGGACAGGTCCTGGGCTGGCGAAGTCATGGTCATCACACCGCCTCTCCCTGTCGGGGTCACAGATGGGCTGGCACAGGGAGAGACGCCAAATCCAGCACCCGGGGCCTCGGCATCGGCCCCGCATGCGCTCGCTAAGACAAGAAGAGCTTCCAGCGACGCGGGGAGGGCCCTTCCCAACGTCAGGGGGCGCTGACAGAGCAGAGCCAGACCACGGCACCCACCTTCAAGTCTCTGCCACAACCTGCCTCCCTCCAGGCACCAGCCCCCTGCCGCCCCCGGTCACCCTGAGTCACCCCCGAGGCTCCGGGCGGGGGCTTTCCCAGGGTGCGACGGCTCCCAGGTGTGCACTGGGCTCTCACCACGGCTGCCCAGCTTCTAGGCACGCGTGCCCTGAAGGCCCCGAGGACACATTACCCCACATGTGAGACGCACCCACCCTCGGACCCTGTCCTGTACTGCGAGCCCAGAGCCCAGAGCCGCCCACCCCCACGGATCCAGCCTCTGCGAATTCACCCGTGGACCCAATGTATTTGTAACCCCAAAACCTACACTGCACCATTTCCAAGTCATCTGGGGGGAGGCTCAGAGCGAGGGCCCAGTGTGTGCAGCGCTGCCCTGCCTTCTTTGGTGTTTAAATGCGCCGGCTTCCTTTAATTGGCAGCGAAAGCCTGCTTCGTTCCTCTCCCACAGCTTGCTATTTTGGAAGTCTTATTTCGGCTCTCACTCTGCGAGCAAGCATGCCATTCGTGGTCACTGCAGACCAAGGTTTCACGTTCCTGTGCTTTCTGCTGATGGTTCTCCTGCTGGAGACGCCCCAGCTCGGTCTGCAGGTCTCCCGCACCCTAAGGGCTGTGATCCCAGACTTCACTGAGGCTGGAGCTCAGGGCGGAGGAACCTGCGGTACTGTGAGGCGGGGAGTCTTCACACAGACGCCTGTGTGCAGCAGGGAGACGTACTGATTGGCTGGGGTCCCAGCAAGGGGCTGCACTGATTGGCTGACCCTGCTGGGATCCCAGGCAACCAGGACTCGGCCCTGTATCTCCCCGGGAGCAAGGCTTGGGCTCACCATTCACCTCCACAACGACTGTAGAACGGAAAGACCTCCCGTTCAGCCGTGTGTCCCTGCCTGGTCAGACACCAAGGGCAGCCAGAACTCAGCAACACCAACCCTGGACGGATCCCGGTCTGGGGCTGGCCCAGGACAGCCTTCCCGGCCAGGCCAGGAAGGAGCTGGGTCACAGGCACTGCCAGCACATTGTCCCTGCTGCCACCTGGAGTCCAGCCCAGGGCCAGGACAAAGGCCAGGAAACCACTGACGCCCCCAGGAGGCGGCTGGGAAGGGAGTGATGACCTCATGCTGACCTGCGCCCAGCCCCTCCCACTGGGAAATCCCACCCCCACCTGCCACGAGAGACAAGCCGAGGGGAGCAGCACGGCTTCGTGAGCTACACCAGGTGTGGCTCAGCCCAGGTGCCGGGCAAGATCAGAACCCTGAGCAGTGACGAGAACGCTCAGGGAGGCCTGGGTGGCGTGGGCAGCCCCCAGGCCCCCAGAGCCTCGGCGTTCCTGTCTACACGGTGAGGCCTGAACCCAGTGCCCCCTTCCAGCTCACGGGACCCTGTCCTCCAGGGGCCTCAGCTCTCTTGGGCATTCACATCCTGGGGCAAGCACAAGGCAGGGGCAGGGGCAGAGGGAGGGGCAGAGGGAGTGAAAGGGGCAGGGTAGTGGGGGGCAGGGGAGGGATAGGGACAATGAGGGGGCAGGGGCAGAGGGAGTGAAATGGGCAGGGAGTAGGGGGTAGGGGAGGGGTAGGGACAATGTGAGGGGCAGAGGCAGTGGGAGGGGCAGCAGTGGGTGGGGCGGGGAGCGGCAGGGGCAGTAGGAGGGGCAGCAGTGGGTGGGGCAGGGGTAAGGACAGGGGCATGCACTGGTGCCCTTGGCCAACATGGAACCTGCAGACAAGCACGAGGGGCTCTGTTGGGTGGAGGCCCCTGGAGCTGGGAGGGGACCTAGCAGGAGCAGCAGAGACAGAAGCAAAGGGCGTGGAACCAAGCAGGGGTGGACGACGGGGACGAGCAGGTGCCCCGAGCCCTGTGGTCGGTGTGGGCCAGGTGTGGCTCCCTGGTGCCTGCACTGTGACCCCACGCTCAGCGCGAGCACAGTCAGGACCCTCAGGGGCAGCCAGGGCAACGTGTCCACTCAGAGGCCACATGTCAGCCGTTCCCTTCCCCTCTCACAGAGGCCGGGTGGGGGTTCTGGGCATTGGGCGCTGGACAGGTCAGCTCTACAGAGGGACTGGCCTCATTCACTTGTGCCCCTGCCTCAACAGGACCCGGGGAGCTGGGTGAAGAGGAGCCGAAGGCAGAACTGCAGCCGCCCCCGCCCCACGCAGGCCCTGCCCTGGGCTCTCCTTGCCCTGCTGGTCTCAGGTTCTGAGACAAGTGGGGGTTCTCATGGAGATGGGGCTGGCAGGTAGCAGTCACCCCGGCAGTTTCTGGAATCCCAGCTACATGGCCTGCGGCCACACCCCTCCCCCATGGGGCAGCACCATCCCAGGACTTACACGTGTCTGGCTTGTGGCAGCTGTGGCCCTGGCGGAAGTACTGAGGGTTCTCAATGACGGGGATGCGGGCCATGCCGATGACCACGGTGTCGGGCCCTGCGTCCAGCGCCGAGGGGGTGGTGAGGCCATGGTTGATGTGGTGCAGGGGGCTGGCCGAGTCCTCCTCGCCACTGATGACAGCCACGGGACCTGCACAGCCATGAGACACACAGGACCAAGTGAGGCCACCCTGCACTTCCCACCTCACTTTCTGCAAGAACCAGACCTGTTTAATGTCCCCAGATGGCGGAGTCCTGAACCCAGAGAACCACCCCTAAATTTCCTTTCTTGAAAATTACCCCAAGCATGCAAACAGCTACAAAATAAATAAAAACAATTACGACACAAGTTAGTCTCACGTCCTCCCAAATCCAGATTGGTTGAAAATAACGAACGTTGTAACAAGGCTCTGCTCCGGAAGCCACAGGACAGAAGCAACAAGGGCCTGGCAGGGCTTCGCCCCCTGCACTAGAAGACCCCCACAGGCTCTGCTCGGCACCCCCAGGGTCTGCCGGCGGCCATCAGATCCGCACCAGGGGGTGACGCTGCCTTGCTGGGCCCCAACGAAGGCCCCCGTGCACAGGGAGATCAGCTCCTCCATCAGCAAGCCACAGCCACCAGGATGTCACCACTGCCTGCCGGCCGCGCAGTCAGCAGCTCCACTCCGGAGCCATCCAGGGCCCCAGTGGCCTCCAAGAGCACCATGCGGGCACCACTAACCCCACAGAGGAAAGCCGGGGTGGCAGCCTGACGGGCGACGACTCTGCTCCGTGACGTGGTTCTGCCAGACCGAGTGAGTCACCTGTGACCTCTACAACCACCATCCCCAGACAAAGCGACTGCTGCAACCTGGCTTTGCGGCCCGAACGATACGTCCACCGCAGAAATCACTAGGTCTTCCTGACGTTTACGGAGAGAATACTCTCTTCCAACGCGAGGCAGAACTACCCAGGAGCTGTGCAGGCGACACCGCACCCGGTCAGCGCAGACAGGCTGAGCCCGCCCGTGACGAACGGCATCCACGACCGGGGACCACGGGGAGGGACCACGGCACTTGGTCAACTTTCTCAGAGGCTCCACGGCGACTGGCCAAGGAAAGGGAAGGCCATCCGCTTTCCGCCGTCCCCTCCTAACCTCAGGGACGGAAAGCTGAGGACACCCGGCATCGGCCTAAGGAGCCACAGTGCCCGGCAGCCCCGGTCCTGAAGTGACTGGACGGGCAGCGGGCTGCAGGGGGACGGCCGGCTGGGACAGGCACCCAGGCACCACCACATCCACAGGGCCCAGCAGATGTCCCAGGGCTGGGGCGGGGCGGGAGGCAGAGACCCCAGACCCTCCCTCATCGGGCTGACACCACCACCCCCTGGGAGACGAGAGAAGGCTGCTCGGGAGGCTTTCTCAGAGACTTCCAGATACCGACGTTTGGGTCTGCTGCTGATCACGCAAGTTCACAGCTGCCCTGCTGTCGTGGGGCCTGTGCCCAGCAGTGTCAGCTCTCACCACTGCTGCCACCAGGCAGTGTCACCAGGACCAGGCCCTGACCCTGCCGTCAGACCCACCTGACCCACCAGGACGGAGGCCCAGTGCTCCCAGTACCACCAGCCCACTGGGACCCACCCATTGGGGTGAGAACCAGCACCCCCAGGTCCCTGCCACGGCAGAAGGTGCAGGAGGCTGCAGGACAGCGAAAACTGGAACTGCAGCCAGAGCGGCCTCTGACGCCGCTCCTGAGTCCAGCTTCCTGCTCACGTACACCCGGGAGGCAGCAGGTGAGGGCTCAAATGCTCGAGCTCCTGACCCATGTGGCGGACTCAGCTGCAGTCCAGGCTCCTGGCTTTGACCTGGCCTGGCCTGGCTGTTATGGGCATTTGGGGAATTAACCGGGGAATGGGAGTTTGATTCTCTCTCTCTCTATCTTTCAAATAGATTATTGTTTTTTCTTTTACAGGTTGCCAGTAATAGTTTTTTTTTTTATTTTTTTTAAAGATTTATTTATTTATTTGAAAGGCAGAGTTACAGAGAGGCAGAGGCAGAGAGACAGGTCTTCCATCTGCTGGTTTACTCCCCAAATGGCCACCAGAGCTGGGCCTATCCCAAGCCAGAAACCAGGAGCTTCCTCCAGGTCTCCCACGCAGGTACATGGGCCCAAGGACTTGGGCCATCTTCCACTGCTTTCCCAGGCCACAGCAGAGAGCTGGATGTGATACAGGCAGGCAGATAGCGTTAAATCGATTGGACTCATGAGCTGGAGGCGCCCTGTGTGATCTCATGACCCTACCTGACCCCACCTGGACACCCACCTGCAATCAGACTATGTAACCACTCCCCTTTGGAAGTGAATAAAAGGCCTGGAGCACCTGGGCCCTCTCTCGTTCTCCCCACACCTCTTGGCGTGGGCGCCTTTTGGTTGCCCCTGCTGCCTGCTCGCCCGCGCGGCCCACATGCCAGCTCCCTGGCAGCCACAGGTCTGGTCACTGGAAAAGCCTGGTGAACGTCCAAGCTCCTTCTCCTACAAAGCCCTCATTTTCCTGTGTTTTTCTCTCATTAGATAAATGTTAAACCACACCAAGTTGCCTGTTTCATCTATAAGCTGCCAATATTTAGAATTCTTATCTAACTATACAGCAAGAACTCTCAAAATAGTAATCTTAAAATAATTAATAAAATTTTGAGTAAAGGTCCCCAATATCATATGGGAAGTGGAACAGCCAGGACTCAAACCGGCACCCACATGGGATGCCAATAGTGTAGACGGCAGCTTCACCTGCTGTGCCACAGTGCCGGCCCCCAAGTAATTTAAAAAATAACTTTAAAAATTCATTAGGTTTCTAGCTCCTGGCTTGTGCCTGCTCAGCTCCAGCTGTTACAGGAATTTTAAGAATGAAGCAGAGGATGGCAGATCTCTCTCCGTCTCTGTTTCAGGTACAGTGAAATGAACAAAATGAAAGCACAGTTCAGGCCAGATTAAGCAATAGAAACACCTGGGCTTGGAGGCTATGAAATATCCCAGCCAGATGAAAAGGCAACGAGAATGACGACAGCCTCAGGGGCCTGTGGGACACACTGATGACGGAACATTCAGACACAGGGGCGTCCAGAGGGGAAGAGATACAGGAAGCCTGAATCCCCACCTAGGAAACGGTGTGGACCCCAGGTACCTGAGGCCCAGAGCCCAAACAGACACAACCAGGATGTGAGAATGCCACACCCACAGGAGCTCTGAGACAGGAGGAGAAGGGACTGCATTGAACAACAGCAGAGTTCTCATCAGAAACCTGCAGGCAGGCGGGAATGGAATGGCCTGTGCCAGTTCTAAAAGAGAGAACCAAGAGGCAAAGCGAATGGCCCCATAACGAAGCAGAAATGAAGACTTTCCAAGACAAGCAAAAGCTACAGAATCGTCACCACCAGACCTGCCTCACCAAAAAGGCTCCAGGGCGTGCGACAAAAGCTGATGAGAGATAACGTCACAGCGCCTAGAGGACCAGTCACAAGACAGGGAAACGGAAGAGAGCCCAACCCACTCACCCAGGTGAAACAGTGGACTCACCACCAACAGAGAAACATCTGCAACAGGACGGAGCCTTCACCTGCCAACAGCAACCTGGGCTGACAATGGGCTAAATCCACCAATTCAAAGACAGACCAGGGGCTGGCGCTATGACGTACCGGGTGAAGCCACCACCTGCAGTGCCGGCATCCCAAATGGGCACCAGTTCAAGTCCCGGCTGCTCCACTTCTGATCCAGCTCTCTGCTATGACCTGGGAAAGCAGCAGAAGATGGCCCAAGTCCTTGGACCCCTGCACCACGTGGGAGACCAGGAAGAAGCTCCTGGCTCCCAGCTCCTGGCTTCCACTAGGCACAGCTCTGGCCACTGTGGCCAATTGGGCAGTGAGCCAGCAGGTGTAGGATCTCTCTCTCTTTCTCTCTCTCTCTGCCTCTCCTTCTCTCTGTGTTTAACTCTTTCAAATAAATAAATAAATTTAAAAAGGAAAAACACAGACTCGATGAACAGAATTTAAAAAAAAGACCCAGTACTGGGATGCATACAGAAACAGCTCCCCGATGAGGACGGGCTGAGAGAAAGGATGCAAAGGGAGGCTGTCCTCCCTGACGAATGGGCGTCATGACAAAACCCACAGCACAGAGGGTCGCTGCAGAATAGGGGCTGATCTGACAGGAAGATGCAACGGTTCCAAGTGTGCACAATACCTAGGGCCAGAGCACCCGATTTTATACAAGCATTGGATCCCCAGGCAGAGACAGGCTCCCACCCAACAACGCCCCATATTCATCAGAGACACAGCGGAGTTAAACTGGGCTGCAGGACACACATTTCCCGCCTTGGTACCTGGAACATTCTTAGGAGAGGCCACATATTGCACCACCACACACTCACAACACATTCGAAAACATCAAAGTTATAACATGTACCTTTCCGACCACAACAAAATAACATCAGACATCCACAAAAGCAAAGAAGAAATTTTAGGAATTAGACAAAATTATGGAAATTGAACAACATGCTATGAATAAAAAATTTAAAAATTTGTTAAATAAAAATGGGGCTGGCACTGAGGCCCAGGGGGTAAATCCGCCGCCTGCAGTGCCATCATCCCTATGGGTGCCACTCAAGTCCTGGCTGCTCCTCTTCCAGTCCAGCTCTCTGCTATAGCCTGGGAAAGCAGTGGAGGATGGCCCAAGTCCTTGGGCTCCTGCATCCATGTGGGAGACCTGGAGGAAGCTCCTGGCTCCTGGCTTCAGATCAGCTCAGCTCTGGCCTTTGTGGCCATCTTGGGAGTGGACCGTCAGATGGAAAACCTCTCCTCCCGCCACACTCTCTGCCTCTGTAACTCTGACTTCCAAATAAATAATCTTTAATAAAAATGGAAACCCAGCACACCAAAACCTGTGGGTTCCAGCAAAAGCAGCACTCAACTCTATAGTAACAAACGCTTACATAACAAATAGCTTTCAAACACATAACCTAATGATGCACCCAGGGATGTAGAAAAGCAGGAATAAATTAAACCTAAAAGCAGCAAAAGGAAAGAATTTGCAAAGATTAGAGCAGAAACAAAAAATACAAAAGATCAATGAAATGAGGTTTGTTTTCTGAAAATTTAAATGAAATCAGTCAACCTTTAGCTTGATTACTCAAGGAAAAAAAAGATAAATAAAATGAGAAAAGGAGAAATTAAACTGATACGACAGAAACATAAGGAAGCACTGGGGACTATTCAGAACAACTAGACAGCGGCAGATCAGGTCAATGTCTGGGCACAGAGGCCCCACCAGACTCAAGCACACAGACAGGAAACCTGAACAGAGCAGCAGGAGCAGGAACCCTAAGTCTCCCAACAAGGAAGGGCCCAGGGCCCGATGCCGCACCGCTGAATTCTACCAGAACTGACACCAACTGTTCTCAGACTATCCAAAACTGGAAGGGAGGGAATTCCTCCTACTCGTGCACTAAGGGTAGCCTTATCCAAACCACACACAGACACGACAATGACAACAACAAAACCATAGACCAATATCCCTGATGAACACAGATGCAAAAATGCTCAACAAAATACTAGCAAATGCAGTCCAACAGCACATCAACAGGTCATTCACCATGGTTAGGCAGGATTTATCCCAGGGATGCGACAATGCCCAGTATGTGCGAATCAGTACACAGGATAGCTTACGTCAACAAATGAAGCAAAAGTCACATAACTGCCCAACAGATGCAGAAAACTCAACATCTACCCAGAATCAAGACTCCAAATACATCAGGCATAAAGGGGTTCCCTCAGCACAACCAGGGCGTGTACGCCAGGCTGAAGTTTCCTCCAAGTTCTGGAATCACAAGGAACGTCCGCTCTCATCGCTCTCATTCAAATGAAGCACTTGAAGTCTTAGCCAGGGAAGTTTGAAAAAAGAAAAAAAAAACCATTCAAATAGGAAAGGAGGAAGTCAAATTGTCATTTTTTTCAGATAGAGATATTTTCTATATAGATAGAAAAACCTAAAGACTCCACCAAAAACTATCATAACTTAAGATTCAGTAAAATTACAGGATACAAAATTAACACACAAAAATCAGTATTTTTACATACCACTAATAAACTTACAGAGACAGAAATTATAAATGCAGTCTGTCTTACAGTGACTACCAAAAAGTGCCTAGTAATACAATTAAACACAGATGTGAAAGCAGCCTATGTTGAGAATTAGTTGAAGATGACACATACATTAGAGGAAAGCTGTCTCCTGTCCATGGATTAGAAGATATAACACTGCTAAAATGTCCATTCCACCCAAAGCAATTTACAGATTCAAAATCTTCATTAAAACATGAATGGCATTCTTCCTAGAGTTAGAGAAAACCGCCCTAAAATTCATATGAAAGCACTAAGTATCCGAATTGCCAAGCAATCTTTTCAAAATATTATTTATTTACTTACTTATTTGAGAGGCAGAGAAGGAGGTGAAACAGAGGGAGAGGGGGAAGAGAGAGGGGGAGGGGGGAGGGGGGAGGGGGGAGGGAGGGAGGGGGAGGGAGGGAGGGAGGGAGGAGGCACAGGAGAGAGGGAAGGAAGGAGGGAGGGAGGAGGCACAGGAGAGAGGGGAGGAGCTGCAGAAATAAACAGATATTCTTCTGTCATCTGGTTCCCTCCTCAAATGTCCCCAGCATCTGGGTCTGGGCTGGGCTGACCCAGGAGCCAGGTTCTCCCGTGTGCAAGGCAGGGACCCACATACTTTAGCCATCTTCCACTGCTTTCCCAGATGTATTATCAGGGAACTGGATTAGAAGCAGAGCAGCCAGAACTCAAACAAGCTCTCCGATGTGGAATGCCAGGAGTAGAAGTGGCCCTGTAACCCACACAGGTGTCACAACCCAACCCCAACCTAAGCAGTCTTGAACAAAAAAAAGAAACTGGAAGCATAAAAATACCAGATTTCAAGACGCTCCCCAGGGTTAGTACCACCACCGAAACAGCACAGGGCTGCTGGAATGACAGAAACAGTATAAAAAACAGACACACAGACCAACGGAACAGAACAGAACAGAACAGAGAGCCCAAAGATAAACCATAGCTCTGTGCCAACTAGGTCTCTACAAAAGGTACAAACAAAATTGGAGAAAGAACAAGGTTGTGAATAAATTGTGCTGGGAAAACAGGATTCTGTATGCAGAATATTGAAGTTGAACCCCTACCACTCACCCTATACAAAAGTCAACTCAAATGGATCAGAGCCCTGAAGGACCACTTGACAGTATGAAACTACTGCAGGAAAACAGAGCCAGCCCTTGGAGACACCAGCACAGGCCCTGGCTTCGTCAATAAGAGCCCAGAAGCAGAACTGGACAAGGGGATTCCACCAAAGAAGTTGTGCACCGCAAGACAACGACCAACAGGGTGAAGACACAGTGACAAATGGGAGAAGACATTTCAAACCACTCACATAAACAGGATTAACGTCAGAACAAGGGACTCAAAAACCCAGCAACCAAAAAAAAAAAAAATCCAGGTTCCCACTCCAGCTTTCTGGGAGCCGGGAGGTGACGGCCCAGTTAGGGCCCTGCCGCCCACCCGCATGGGAGACCTGAATGGAGTTCTGAGCTCCCGGCTTCATCACGGCCCAGATCCAGCTGTCGCAGACATTTGCAGACCAAAATGGGAGATGAGAGACCGGTCAGCCTTTTAAATACATTTCTGAAAAGGGAAAAACACGGGGCAGATGATCTGGGTACCACTTCTCAAAAGAAAAATTCCAGTGTCTAAGAAACACATGAAATGTTGCTCAATGTCATTACCCACCCGGGAAACAGCATCCCACCCAGAGAGAACGGCTGTCACTAAGACAGCGAAAGACAGCAAATGCCACCGGAGGTGCAGCCACGTGGAGAAGAGTGAGCCCCGCCGAGGGTAGGATCCAGGTGTTGCTACCCAAAGGCTGGCTCATCTCTGCCTAAGCACGGAGTGGGCATTCAGTGCAGGAGTCAGGACGGCCACGCCCCACATCAGAGGGTCTGAGTCTGGGCTCTGGCTTCTGGCTCCAGCTTCCTGTGAATGCAGACCCTGGGAGGCAGCAGGGGCGGCTCAGCTCGGGTTCCTGCCACCAACACGAGACCCTGCACAGAGCTCCCGGCTCACAGCTTCAGCCCTGGCCCTGGCCGATCTGGTCATTTCAGGAAATCAGGGAATGAACAATGAGTGGAGATGTTTTCTCCCTGTCTCCCTGAGAGAGCAGGCAGCAAGCTGTGTTTCCCCCTTGTGGGAATCCATCTGCAGGAAATGCAGTCGGCCTCTGCGGGATGAAGCCTGCCCCCCATGCCCGCTGTAGCACTGTTCAGAACGCCTGTGACACAGAACCAAGCTCGGTGTCTACCAAAGATAACGGAGAAAGCATACGTGGCAAAGACACAGAGAGTACTGCTCAGCCATAAAATGAAATCCTGCACTTGCAGCAAATTGGATGGAACTGGGGGATAGCATGTTAAATGAAATAAGAAATACAAGTATCACAGGTCCTCCCTCCTGTGTGGAAGCTGAGGAGTGGATCTAGATGAGAACGGTGGTTACAGAGGGTGGGAGGTGGGGAGAGGGGCAGGGTGGACAGCAGGCAGCGAATCATGACCAAGCACGAGGGACACCCTGGTGCTCACCAGCGCCACCAGCTCCACAGTCAGCAGACAGACAGGAGGAGGTCAGGGACCACAAAGGCACGAGACAAGGGGGGTGGGGGGGACACTCGTTACTCCGACTTCATCCGCACACACGCAGCCACTGCGGTCACTGCTCCTACACACGCGCACTACCGCTCAGTGTTAGCAAAATGAATCTCACGTCCGAGGAGGCGTAACGGGAGCTGACCCAACCTGGTCACTCATACTGCATGCAGGTGCATCCAGCCGTCCACCCCGCCACGTGAGTATGCACGACTGAAATGAAGAGCTAGAGGACTGTGGGCAGTGCGCTGACAGACGCAGGACAGCCAACACGGGACGCCACCCCTCCCTCCCACCCTCAGCACCACAGGACACGAGCCAGCACCGTGACAGGAAGAGGACAGACGTTTGGAAAAGACGAAATGTCTCTGCATCTGTTCCCGTAAGTCCATGGACAGTGAGTGGTCAGCAAAACTTGGTGAGCCCTTGAGATCTAAGCCACGCCCACCAGGGCAAGAGCCACAGGAGGAAGGGTGCTGCCACGGGAAGCAACAGAGCCGCCAGGAAGACGTCACAGAGAGGAAGGAGGAGGCCGGACCCGGGGCCTCAGAGCCCTGCTGACCCCGGCACAGGTGCGAGAAGGAAGCAAGAAAATGGGAAGTCCAGGAGACGCAGGGAGGGCGTTTCCTGGGCGTTTCTTGTCCCTGCCACCCCAAGGGGCACCTGGACTGAGTTCTCTGCCTGGCCTGGCTCTGGCTGCTGAGGGCATTGGGAAGTAAACCGTGGATGGAGAGCTCAGTCTCTCTCTCCCCTCCTTTCAGTCACTCCATGTTGGTCCTTTCAATAATAAATAACTAAATACCAGCCCCTCTGTTTCTCCTCCTCTGACTTAGAAACATGCGCATCTCTCAGAAACACATCCCCAAGAAGAGCCAGGCGTGGCCTGGCCAGGCCAACAAGCCCAGGGCTTCTCCAGGTCCCGAAGAGCAGCTCAGGGCCCCGGGACACGGGGACCCCTGAGGTTTGTACGGAGGGAAGGGTGTGGAAAACCAGCACGCAGCATCCCCTGCTGGACGCGGCCGCCTTGCTGAGCAGTGGTCTTCATGGATCTCGCTGGATCGCAGGGGCAAACCGACCTCACACACGTGGAGACAGCTCTGCTCTCCGGAAGCCACGGGGCCAGAAGCGCCACAGCCCGTGCTTGAAGGCGCCTGTCAGCCTCCAAGTTCTTCCTCTCCCCACCATACAACCCGTGTCCTCGGCAGTGGGCAGGCGCCAGGACTCCTTCACACACACGGACAGCCTGCTGGGAGCACAGGCGCCTGCGACACCAGCGGCAGGGCGGCCCCCATGCTGGGAGAGGTGCACCGCCTGGGGGCTTCTCGGCAGGACCAGCCCATCGGAGACAACTTCAAGGCGTTCCAGCATCCACGGCCAAAGACGTGCAATCCCAGGGACAGAAGCCACACATTCTAGACTCCTTCCCTCAGCTTCGGGAGGGTGGAGGTGGGGGCAATCCCCCCCCCACTGTCAGAAGATAACTTGAGCCCACAGCTGCTGCCAACCGTGGAGGACGGCCACTCCCGGTACCTGCCGCCACCCCCTTGGGAAGCAAAATGAGGGGTGCGGTGGCCGCTGCACAGGGAGACCCACAGTACCATGTGCATGGTCGCTGTCCCCTGGCAGGTGTAGGCCTGAGGCAGGCCCCAGCCCACACCAGGTGCACAGGGCTGGGAGTGTGCCTGCTGACCACAGTGCTCGGTGCCGTCACCCTATCTCTACAGTGGACAAGGCCACTTGATCTGATTCAGAGTTCACACCGCACGCCCAGCATCCTCCACAAATCCCGCCAAGCCTCAGGGAGAAGACAAGCCCTGTGCTCCCCTCCGCACTCATCTTAAGGTGCTCCCACACCCTCGGCCCCGGGCGCAGCCCACACCCACAGATGGAGCCAGGGAGGAAGGAACCAAACCCGGGCGGGTGCGGCTTTGCTTTGCCAGGTCGAGGCCAACCAGCTGAGCTCCAGGTTCAGAAAACGAGTTTCTGAAAACCTGAAGCCAACGCTGAAAAGCCCCTGATGGCGAGAGCTTCGTAGCCACCCGAGCAGGAGCAGGCACCACGTGGCCTCCGTGAAGCAGCAGCAGCACAAGGGCCCAGCGCGCTCGGAGGAGCCCCTCTGAGAGGCTCAGGAAAGGGCCTGGTCCCCAGAGGCTACAAACAAATCAACTTCTCAATTTTTATTGGCAGGTGGAGGGCAGAGGCCAAGTGAGCATGGGCTGTGGCCAAAAGCACACCTGGGACAGTCACCACCTCCCATGCAGGGACAGCTCCCCCGGGCCCCACCCTGGCCTCCTGCGGCTTCCAGGGGATGCTGCCCTGGTGACCTCCAGGGCACGATAAGGTCCTGCAGGCTGCCCAACAGGACACAGAGTCCTCACTCCCCTACCCTCTGCCTGAACTGCTTCCAAGAGAGCCGTTTCTTCCTCTGACTCAAGCTCCCCGCCAGCCTCTCCCAGGAACAAAGCTGCTGTGCATGCCTGGTACCACACGTGGCCCAGAGACACTGGTGGTGACTGAAAACCATGCTGTTCATCCGCCAGCCGAGGACACTGGGGGGCAGGTGGACGCCAGGTGGATTCTGAGCCCCTGGCCCTCCTCAGCTGCATCCTCTTCAGAAACACCCCTGGATAGAGCCCATCACCTGTCTGCAGGTGCAGATACAGCCACTGAAGCTTCCATAACACGCACAGTGACACCAGGCTGCACAGTCACACCAGGCTGTACAGTCACACCAGGCTACACAGTGACACCAGGCTACACAGTGACACCAGGCTGCACAGTCACACCAGGCTACACAGTGACACCAGGCTGCACAGACATACCAGGCTGCACAGTCACACCAGGCTACACAGAGACACCAGGCTGCACGGTGACACCAGGCTACACAGTCACACCAGGCTGCACAGTGACACCAGGCTGCACAGTGACACCAGGCTACACAGAGACACCAGGCTGCACAGTTACACCAGGCTGCACAGTGACACCAGGCTGCACAGTCACACCAGGCTGCACAGTGACACCAGGCTGCACAGAGACACCAGGCTGAACAGTCACACCAGGCTGCACAGTGACACCAGGCTGCACAGACATACCAGGCTGCACAGAGACACCAGGATGCACAGTCACACCAGGCTACACAGAGACACCAGGCTACACAGTGACACCAGGCTGCACAGAGACACCAGGCTGCACAGAGACACCAGGCTGCACAGTGACACCAGGCTGCACAGAGACACCAGGCTACACAGAGACACCAGGCTGCACAGTGACACCAGGATGCACAGTGACACCAGGCTGCACAGAGACACCAGGCTGCACAGAGCCACCAGGCTGCACAGTCACACCAGGCTGCACAGTGACACCAGGCAGCACAGAGACACCAGGCTGCACAGTCACACCAGGCTACAGAGACACCAGGCTGAACAGTCACACCAGGCTGCACAGTGACACCAGGCTGCACAGAGACACCAGGCTGCACAGTCACACCAGGCTGCACAGAGACACCAGGCTGCACAGAGACACCAGGCTGCACAGAGACACCAGGATGCACAGTGACACCAGGCTGCACAGAGACACCAGGCTACACAGAGACACCAGGCTGCACAGTGACACTAGGCAGCACAGAGACACCAGGCTGCACAGTCACACCAGGCTGCACAGTGACACCAGGCTGCACAGTGACACCAGGATGCACAGAGACACCAGGCTACAGAGACACCAGGCTGAACAGTCACACCAGGCTACAGAGACACCAGGCAGCACAGTCACACCAGGCTGCACAGTGACACCAGGCAGCACAGAGACACCAGGCTGCACAGAGACACCAGGATGCACAGTGACACCAGGTTGCACAGTGACACCAGGCTGCACAGTCACACCAGGCCGAACAGCCACACCAGGCTACAGAGACACCAGGCTGCACAGTCACACCAGGCTGCACAGTCACACCGGGCTGCACAGTGACACCAGGCTACACAGAGACACCAGGCAGCACAGTCACACCAGGATGCACAGTCACACCAGGCCGAACAGCCACACCAGGCTGCACAGTGACACCAGGCTACACAGAGGCACCAGGCTGCACAGTCACACCAGGCTGCACAGAGACACCAGGCTGCACAGTCACACCAGGATGCACAGTCACACCAGGATGCACAGTCACACCAGGCTGCACAGTCACACCAGGCCGAACAGAGACACCAGGCTGCACAGTCACACCAGGATGCACAGTCACACCAGGCCAAACAGAGACACCAGGCTGCACAGTCACACCAGGCTGCACAGAGACACCAGGCTGCACAGTCACACCAGGATGCACAGTCACACCAGGCCAAACAGAGACACCAGGCTGCACAGTCACACCAGGCTACACAGAGGCACCAGGCTGCACAGTCACACCAGGCTGCACAGAGACACCAGGCTGCAGAGTCACACCAGGATGCACAGTGACACCAGGCCAAACAGTGACACCAGGCTGCACAGTCACACCAGGCTGCACAGAGACACCAGGCTGCACAGAGACACCAGGATGCACAGTCACACCAGGCCAAACAGAGACACCAGGCTGCACAGTCACACCAGGCCGAACAGCCACACCAGGCTGCACAGTCACACCAGGCTACACAGTCACACCAGGCTGCACAGTCACACCAGGCTACACAGAGACACCAGGCTGCACAGTGACACCAGGATGCATAGAGACACCAGGATGCACCAGGCTATCCCAGCACTGCATTCCTGATGAGGATCAGCCAGTCTCCTTTCCACTCTGATCACTGTGCCGTAGAGATTCATTTCTAAGGGAGCCATATTCCTTCAGGAGCAAAGCACATGCCATCTCTAGGGAGCCTGGGACCCAGAATCCCGGGCACAGGGTTGTAGCTGTGACAAGTAGTTCACAGGCACAAGGACAGCTGGCGGCCAGAGTGACAACACTGCCTTCTCCCAGGACTCAGCTCCACTGGGACCGGAACACACAGGCACCACCTTGCAGCTGCACACTTCTGGTGTTCTGTGCCCATGAAAGAGATCAGAGCTCAAGTCTCTACGTGTCTGACTCCAGCTCCAGCCGCTGTACTAGTGTCCAGTGTCCAGCAGGCCCCAGGGACCTCTGCAGAGGCCCACCCACGAGCTCACTGCTTTGTGACCCCTGCAGGACGAGGAGTTGACACCCTCCCAGCAGGGCTGCCACTGTCTCCCGGGCCAGCACCCAGGCCGGGCCACACAGGGGCGTGTGACCCTGCCCCATGGCCAGGGCACCTCCACACAGACTTCCTGTGAAGGTTTACCTCTAGAAGTTATCTCATCAGCCAGAGCTGTGGTTCCCATTGAAAACCACACCCTTGGGGAACCAGTGAAATCCCATGTGTGCCTGAAGCCACCCTGAATGGGCGTCCTGGGACCAACACCAGCGCCCCCCTGCTCACTTCCTCTGTGCTCAGGGGTCTCCGGCTCAGAAGTCCAATGGGGCAAGGAATCCATCTACCTGTGAGTTTCCCTGAGTCCCTCCTAAGCTGCCTCTCACGGGCCAGGAAATTGGAGCACACACACAGTCCACTCCCAACCCCAGGTATCAGCGAGCATCGCCCAGAACAGCAGCCTGTAAGACACAGCAGACACCGGCTCTCCCGCGGAGCCTGGCAGCCCGACACCGAGGTGCCGGTGGGGCCACAGCACAGCGAGCTCCCTCCGCCAGCATCTGGGGGCGGCAGCCACGTCTCCTCTGCCTCCTCCCTGGGTCTCTGACCTCTGCATCAGGCTGCCAGTCAAACGCAGGGAAGGCCCATCCTACACCAGTGTCACCCAGCCTATCGCACATGAAATCTCCTCCAAAGATGACATTTGTGGATTCCAGAAACTTCTGCACCAGCACAAACATCTTTTGATGTTTCCACTCTTGGAAGTGCCCCCCCATTCCCACAACGGCCCCAGGAGTTAAGACCTCAACTCGTCTTTCTGCAGAACCCAGCGAGACTAAAACTGCCAGCCGCAGGTCAGAGCAGCACCGGGGACCAGACGGCATCAAGATGATGGTGCAGCCGGCAGCACAAAGGGTGCAGCCATGGGGACTCACTCCCACAGCAGCTCCCCGGGGCCACGGAACCATGCCCAGCCCAGGGCTCTGCAAGTGACCCCCGCACACCTTCCAGGTCAGTCTTTCCCACCCACGTGCTCACAAACACTGCCTCCTGCTCTATGCCCTGAGCTGGGAGCCAGGGGCTGGACCACAGGGCAGAAGGGGCCAGCACAAACCTGGGGCCTGAAGACCACCCAGCAGGCCAGTGGGGCACACGGAGGAGCCCACAGGGGCAGGCATCTGGGGCGCCGAGGAGGGGGAGGCACCCCGCAGCAAGAGTCCCAGCTGGCGTCCCACCCGGGTGCCCATTCGTCCCTCCCGTGGGGCCGAGCCGCCCTCCCTGTCTGTGGACCCTGGCTCCGCCTCCTCCCACCCCCAGCTGTCACCTCAAGGCACCTTGAGCCGTGGCCAATGCTACATCTCCACACAGGCAGACAGAGCTGGGCCGGGGCCCAGCAGCCTCTGTCGCTCTCGCTCGCTCACCCCGCGTCCAGACTGGCGTGGAGCGCACAGAAGCATGTCCTCTGGTGGCACTGCGGTGGGCATGGCAGGGACTCTTAGGACAACTGATTCCCTGCAGGCAGAGGTGGGACAGTGGCACAGCTGCTCCGTGACCGCCCACAAGGCTGCCTGTGGCCTGCACACCTGCTCCTGCCTAACCAGCTGCCCCCAGCCGGAGGGACTCCATCAGCCAGGCAGATGCCCATGGAGCCTGTGCTTGACGAAGCCCATCAGCCTCTGGGGGAGAGGTGATGACATCACAGCCCCTGACTAGGGCCTGGGGGTCCCAGGCTTGTGCTCGGGCAGGTGTGCTCCTAGCTCGTGCTAAGAACTCACACACAGGCAGCAAAGCCTGGGAGACCCTGGGCTCCACGTTTCCTTACCACGCCACCCTGTCCTCTGTCACACTGGACACAACAGTTCCACGGGCAGTGTCTACAATAAACTCAAGGGCGCTGAGCTCCCACACTGAGCTCCAGAAAGCAGCATGGGGCAGGGGATCACATAGCCGGGAACCAGCACAGGACAGAGAAGTCCAAGGACGCACCCTCTCCTGCGAGATGCGCCTCTCCTGCAGCCGCCGTGTGGGCTTCCGGATCAGGAAGCGCGGCCACTGCCGACATAACCACACTACAGGACCCCAGTCCAAAGCCATCTCCTGCTGCACCCATTACTGCATAGGAGAAGCGCTGGGGCTGCAGTAACCCAGCCAAGGGCGCCCCTCCTCGCACAGCACGAAGCCCCCGGTTCTCTGCAAAGGAGGCTCCTCCCACCATCCCTGATCTGAATGACAAGTGACAGTCACTCTAACAGGTGATGCAGGCCAAGTGTGGACTGGAGAGCAGAGCAGAGAGGCAGCAGGCAGCTGGCCTGGGGGCAAAGACACCCACATCCCACGTCGGAGGGAACCGATGGGATCCCCAGCTCTGGCTCCCAGCTCCAGCCTCCCGCTAGCGCACACCCCAGGAGGCAGTGGTGATGGCTCAAGTAGCTGGGTCCCTGCCGCCTGTGTGGGAGACCTGGATTAATTTCTGGCTCCAGCTCCAGCCCCAGCCAGTCAGTGGGTGGATGGGAGCCTAGGCTCACTCTTGCTCTCTCACAAATAATTATTTTTTAATTAAAAAGGAAAAGAGAGAGTCCTGTGCAGAATCCACTGCTAATTTGGATCTGAGACGTGCGTGGCCACACCCACTGGAAGCACACAGTATGCGGCCAGCATGCTCCAATCCCCCGTGGAGGGGCTGCCTCTGCCCCCAGGACAGGCACGGGCGCAGTCTCTGGTGGGCAGACAGAAGACATCCTGGTGAGTCCCAGGCAGCCAGATCTCCCACTCACTCCCTACCCTGTCCTCAAGGTCAGCCCATCTTGGGCCACCTTGTTCTCCTGGAAGGCTTGGTTGCCACCTCTGCCCTGTAGCTCCGGTGCTGTGGAGAAGCCAGTGCGGTGCAGGTGCTGCCTCAGTTTCACTCCCTGGGGGGGGGGGGGTCAAGACAGGGCTGAGTCCCTGCTCCCGATACCATCAAAGCAACAGGACCTTGGGTAGGGAGCAAGACCATCTCCCAGGCACCACTGCAGGCCCGCACGGGCCCCTTGCCCACAGACTTGGGCAGGCCCCTCCTGTGTCTCAGGGGTCACTGCAGAGCAGCCCCTGGCCCCCAGCTCTCCCACAAGGAGTGGAGCAAAGGCTTCCAACAAAACAGAAGGACTCTGCTCTCCTGACGGGAAGCCAGAGTGTCTGGCCCCTCCCCCCGCTCTTCCCTGCCTTCTAAAGGAAATGTAAGATAACATGTAGGCTCTGTGTTTAAATTGATTCCTTTGCAGAGTCAAGGGAAGGCTTGGGATTATTAAAATGGAAATCAAGATCTTGTAAAAGCCAAACCATCCTGGCGGGAAGAGATTTATCACGGCAGGCACGGATCCCAAGTTCTAATCCAGTCCTGAGCCCGGCACCTCTGCCAAGGCCACCGTGCCCCGTCGTCCCTCTGCGAGTTCTGAGATTCACAGTGCAGACGCTGCCTCTGCTCCTCATGTCAGGGAAGGTGTGTGGCAGCGACGCTGCACCCAGGGCACAGTGGGCCAAGTCTCCAGCACCCGGAGACCATCGAGAGGCCCGTGCCCCCGCGCACCTGGGCCACAACAAGCCCTGGCTCACAGCTCCTCGTTGGATCAACAGTTTGCTCCCAGAATTTAAAACACACAGTCAAGTTCTTTGGATAAACAGGAGAGCTTCCAAAGAGAAGTGGACAAGCATCTTCATCCACTGTCCCTCCCCGTTCTCAGCAGAAAGCCAAGCGTGGGCTCGTGCCGGGCACACAGGTAGACTGTGCAGGATTGGGGGAGCTCAGGGGCCCCTCAGGCATGCCCCAGGCTCCCCATGAGGAGAGGTGGTGATCCCAGGACTGGCTTCCAGTGGGCCTGGCACCCTCCCGCCCACTCCTCCACTCCCAACCTGCGTTTTTTCACAGGTGAGCCAGGCAGACTAAGTGAACAACAGACCCTACCTGGATACGAGTGTGTACACAGAGACACAAACACACACGTATGTATTTACACACACGGATAAGCAGCTGCCGTCCAGGAAAAACCCTCTAAACGCCAGGCACTGGCCCATGCTTTCCCGTGCTTTCCCATCTCTGCTTGTTGGCTATGCAACTGGCAAGAACTGCACCAAGCCGGCGGGGCTGCTGCTCCTGACACCTGCATCCCACATCCGGGCGCCAGCTCCCGGCCCGGCTGGCACTTCCAGCCCAGCTCCCTGCTGATGCGCCTGGGAAGGCAGTGGAGGGTGGCCCAGGTACTTGGGCCCCTGCATGCACATGGGAGACCCGGATGGAGTTCTGGGTTCCTGGCTTCGTCCTGGCCCAGCCCTAGTCTAACCATTTCAGTCATCTGGGGAGTGAACCAGAAGATAGAAGATGTCCTTGTCTCTGTCATTCTACCTTTCAAACATGTATGTAAATCTGAAAAAAAAAAGTAAGCAACTTGTGAACACGGCCTCACCCACTGACACGCTACAGACAACAGACGCTCAGGGCCGATTCCTGACCCTGCTCCTCGGCTGAGACCGAGAGGCTGGGGTTCCACTCCACGACCAGAGACCCCAGGGCCCGTCACCACAGGTCCTGTCCACCGCAGCTCTGAGCTTAAGAGGACTTGTACACCACAGGGAGAGAGGGCAGCTTCCAGGTTCCCTTGGGTTTGTGACACCATTTCCACCAGGTTCACTCCCGGCTTCATGTAAAGCCTCCTGGGCCGGTGCAGGGTCTCTCCCCAGCCACACCTCCCACGAGCACCTGAGCAGGCACGGGTGTCGGACGTTCCCCGCCGAGCTCCACCCAGGACCTGCCGGACCCAGCTCTAACCCTCTGTGCCCTAGAAGCACCCGCACGCCTCCCCCACCCCTCCATCACCTCCTCTCTGCACGAGACCAAGGTCTCTGCCACCCTCACCTCTCGCTGGTGACCCTGGCCTCTGCAGCCCAAGGACAAGACCAAGAGGCTGTGCCAGGGTGCCAGCTGATGCACCTGCTGTTCCCTTCATGGAGAAGGCACAGAGTGGCGCAGTCGCCGGCCCATCTCCACAGCGCCGTCAACACCACCCAAGGCCAGGTCACCGGCCTTCTCGGGGTGTTGGCTTCTCATCCGTTAGTGACCGTACGGCCGCATCAGGCTGTTCTCGGGACTAAACAAAGCAACAGGTAACAAGCACAGCAAAGTTAAGGGACAGACAGCAGTTTGCTAACTCAAGGGTTTGCCGGTGGCACCCTTGACCCCATGCCAATTATCGACCTACGCAGCAGCACCTTAATAATGATGGTGTTCGCGTTCCCTCAAGACTCCCAGAGGCCACCGCCACTTTCCACCACTGACCTCGAGAGAAGGCCCCAGTGATGCAGGCGGGAAGCCCGTGTCGTGAGAGGCACAGACAGTGCCCGTGGACACCCCCGCCCCCCGAGCAGGGATGAGGAAGACCACAGCACTGCGGGCCGTCTGCAGGGATGCAGTCCCCAGATCTCCACACAGAGGGGAGGTGCAGAACAAGTGAGGGAGCGAGACCTCCAGGGGTTCGCCTGCAGCCACTCACAAACACAACCAGCGTGCACAGCACAGGGAGCCCCACGCCTGCCATGTCCTGCAGTGAGGCCAGGGAGGGGCACGCGTGGTGCCACAACTCAGTGGACACCGGAGACTGTGGTCCGAGCACACTGGCGGAACGCGGAACCTCGGCTGCAGCTCACGAACTGGAGGCCGGCACGTGGAGCCCACCAGGGACCTCAGACAGGGCCACCCCTTGCCAGACAGGGCTCCCTGCAGCCGGGCACTGCTGGCCCCTGCAAGGTTAAACGTGATGGATGCTGACTGTACTCAGGAATTGATGGGTTCATTACCACAGTGAGCTAACAATGGCTTCTGCTAACCAATGCATGAGGGATGATAGGGAAGATACAGGGAGGGGAGTGTGTGGCCCAGACCAGAAGCAGCTGTGTGGAGCAGGCGTTGCTCGGGCCGGGGTGTCGGTCAGCGGGGGTGCAGGAGCCGTATCAGCTGTGGGACTTCCAGTTGCTTCACCTCACCGGTCTTGGTTTTCTTATCTGAAAACAGGCATCTGAAGCCCCACCTCCTGCCCTGTCCCACCCCAGACCTACAAGCGTCTCTCAGGAGTCTCCTGGGTTACAGCCCAGGGGGAGGCAACAGACTGCGGACCACCGAGCCGATCAGCACGCTGGGCGGTGAAGCAGCCATTTAAGGGGTTTGGCAGTGTAGGGGCACAGACTGATGCGAGAGGCAGTGTAGGGGCACAGACTGATGGGGAGGTGGTGGAGGTCATGTATGCAAGGTCCTGGCCCAAGTCAGCCCTCAACAGATGAGAGAGGAGACCTCGTACCTACTCAATGCAAGTCTGGAACTTCGGGGGCTTCCCCGGGTGCCTGGGACCCGCAGCCGGCCTCACAAAGGGCAGCTCAAGGTGCCTGTGATTCACCCTGGCTGTGTGAGCACAAGCCCCGTGGCTCTGGCCCCACACACGAGGAGGCCAGAAGTCAGGGGCAGGAGCTCTGACCAGAGACTCCCCACGCTCAGATCCAGGGCCCTCCAGCAGGTGAGTGGGCAGTGGGGACACTGCAGGCCTGCTGAGACGTGGGACTGCGTGAGGTGCATGAGAAGCACATGAGACACCCAGCATGTGCGTGGCGCACAGTGGGGCTGAGGGAGTCCCAGCTGCTGAATTCACACACATGCGTGGACATCTCATGATGGGGGGGCACAGAGACACACGGCACAGGCAGGCACCAGAACCTGTGTCCCTGGCAATTTGCCGAGTTTGCCTCCCCAAGAAGAGGGACTGGGAGAGGTGCTGTCGTTTAATTTGACACATGGGAGGCTGACAAAGGCAGATGTGCCCCCCCCATGCCAGGTGGATCAAAAGTGCTAGCCCTGCTGCCAGTCAGAGGGGACGAGGCCAACCCCAAGAGTGGTGACATCACTGGCCCTGCCTGCTTGGCCCCTTCAGGGCACAAGCAATGAGAGCAAGGCTTGCTTCATCTGTCTACACTCCAGTCTACACTGCAGCGAGGGGTCTGTGCCCTGGAAGACACAGGGAGCAAAGCAGAGAGCGAGGGTGTTAGAAGCTGTGTGGGGAGCAACTCGGACTAGACTAAGTTACTGGAATTAAGACTTATTCTATGCATCTGCTCTCCCACAATATGGCGCTGAGAAGGGAGAAACAGCTTCTACACAGCTGCCTCCAGTTCCACCAATAAACTGTAGGACCTGCTCCTGATTGGAGGAGAGCAGCGTACTTGGCATGTGGGTAGCAGAGTTGGGATTGGCGGAAGAGGACTATAAAGGAGGAGAGAGACAACATGCACCAGGAACATCTAAGGGGAACACCTGTGCAGCCCCCGAGAGAGCCGGCCGGTGGTGTGCCGCTCCCCCGTGGAAGTGGGGAAAGTGGCCAGGGGGAACCGCCCTTCCACAGAGGTGGAAGGGACGGCAGCCAACCCGGGAAGAACCAGCAGCAAACCCGGGGAGGGCCGAGCAGACAAAAGAACAGCGCAGGGTCCTGTGTCGTTCCTCCACGAAGACGGGGAGCGACATAATGGTGCCGTGACTCGGATATGAAGCCTAGGCAGGGTTTAGTGTTGCTCCTCCGTGAAGAGGGGGAGCGACATAATGGTGCCGTGACTCGGATAGGAAACTTAGGAGGGAAGAAACGGGAAGAAGTGGGAAAATACTGGAGAGAGAGACTAGCAAAGAGCCTAGGGAAAGCCGGACGGAAAATGTGCCAGAAGAAGCTATCGAAAGCCTAGGCATAGACTCGGATACGGACTGTGGGAAAGAAGTTAGGATTGAAAGCGAAAGTGAAAGCTTTCATAGACTCGGATGCAGACTATGGCGGGGAAGCTAGGAGATTGAAAGCGAAAGTGAAACCTGGAGGAGGCTTGGACTCGGATGCGGACTATGGGGAGAGGCCAGGAGAAATGAGAGAGGAATATTGTTGGAAGAAAACCTAGGGAAACATACCGGGTAGAGAAAAATGTTAGGGAGGATGAAGCCGCGAGTGCAGGCTGAGGCAGAGACGTAAGCCATCTTGGAATTCTTCAAGTCAGCCCGGGGAGCAAGAGGCGAAGATCTGGAACCAGAGGCAGAGACGTGGGCCGCCAGGTTGGAATTCGCCAGGTTAGTCCGGGGAACTTGGATTGAATACCAGTGGCGGAAACGTGAGCTACGCTGTGTGATTCGCGGAAGCCGCCGCGTGCAGAGAGAGCACGGGGCGTGAATAGATAGGGAACACGGGGCTGGCGCGAGGCCGCGGTGCGGGCGCGGAGTGCGTGGAGACCGCGGAGTGTGCGCGCGAAGCCAAGCCGCGCAGAGCAGGGAGCCCGCCGCAGGGCGGGCGCCAGGAAGCCGCGCAGATGAGAGAAGCGCAGGCTGAAGCGGCGCAAAGCCGGGAAGCCACCGTGGGGCGGCGAGGCGCCGAGAAGCAGCCTCGGGGCGGGCGCCGGGAAACCGCGGGGATAAGAGAAGCCGTGGGAAGTTTAGAAGTAAAATGAGAGAAATAGGAATGCTGGCAGATAGAAGTAAAATGGGAGAAATAGGAATGCCCGGAGATAGAGAAATAGAGAAAAATAAGGCCTCCCCACAACACAGCAATGAGAGAGCTTGGATTTGGTCTGCCTGATTAGGACGATAAGCACCTGCAGGCGGCTAGCAGCTTATGCGCCGCAGGTCACCGAAGACAGGCACGAATTAACATTAATAAGTCTCCCCACAATACGGCGATGAGAAGGCTTGGATTCGGTTTGCCTGATTGTTAGGGCTTGTAAGCACCTGCAGGCAGTTCTAGCAGAGCAGAGCATGCGCTGCAGGGCACCGAACACAGGCACGCATCAGCGCCTAAAAACCTCCTTACAACATGGCGAAGAGAGGACCCAGATTCGGTTTGCCTGATTGGTAGGGCTTGTAAGCACCTGTGGGCAACTCTAGCAAGCAGAGCAGAGTGTGTGCCGCGGGGCACCGAAGACAGGCGCGTATCAACGCCAAAAAATAAAAAGAAAGGGGGATCTGTGGGGAGCAACTCGGACTAGACTAAGTTACTGGAATTAAGACTTAT